TACTTACTTCTTTTTTAAATGTTATTCTTAATTTAATAATGGGAATAAGCTCCTTTAATGTATAGTCATCTATGTCCAGCAAAACTGTACCATCTATATCTTCCTCTAAAATGTATACACAAAAAAAAAAGGTTTACAAAAATGTAATTATTTAATTAATAATTTGCAATTATAAAAATACTGTATTTAATGAAAGACTGAAATATTTATTATAAAAAAAACCACAAATGCAAGAAATAAAGAACAACTTATTTTTATTGAATATATGGGTATAATATACAAAAACATTCATCATATATTAATAAATATATTAAATATAATAAATAACAAATGTTTTTTAAAATTCCTTTATTTTATTTTATAATTACTAGTGAGTAATTATAAAGGTGTCATTTCACCTTACTTCAACTCAAGGAATTTTAAAGTGAGTAAGTTTCAATATATCTAACAATATATACATATACAAATCTTGTTTGTATTAATACAAACAATTTCCAAGTGTTACAACACTTGACTTTTCAAAGCAACTAGGCATCCAACTGATGTTATATACCCATCAAGTGGTTCAGGAGAAGCTTCACTTCCAACAGGTTGAATGCATAATGTGGAGGATGCAGTTAAGCAATATGAATGACAATAGTGTAAAAACTGTGAGCAGGTGCAAATATTTCCAACAAAATACCACCTTTCAGAGTGTTTAAGCAGATAAGATATGCATAAAAAAATAGGAATTCCATCATCTTGAACCGATAAAACAAGATAGTCCTTAACATAATAAGTTACATGATTAATAGATACTCTTGTAGCTTTAAATATTTCACTAATATTATATCCAAAATAATCAAATAGTTCATCTTGAATATTTTTTGGAAGACACAAAGTTGATATTGTAACTCCATTCTTCTCATCTTCATTGTTTCGCAGACAATCATAAGAGTTTAATTCTGCACATTGTCTCATTTGATGTCGCTTTGATAATGTAAAAGTAATATTTTTGAAGTTGGAGATAATGTGGCACAACCTTTTAAAATAATTGTGCTTGGATTCAAACCTCATACACCATAAATGTCTTAAAGGGCCAAATAAACACAGCATTCTTGGGTAATGTATAAGATAATGCATTTTCGGAGTCATTTTGTCAGGATATTCAATATTAAACATATACAAGAAATTCTCAATGAGGTATGTTAAATATGTAATTTGGTCACATTTAATTGTAAAAGAAAATAAAATGTCACATATTTGACGAAACAGCAAAAAGACTTCCCAATACGATTGGAAATTATCACCATGGATAGAAAGATAATCAATAATAATTATTGGAAAATTTCTAAAAAGACACCAATTTTCTGAAGCTTTTCCAGAGAGATGACCATTAGCAGAAATCGAATGGTTAAGTATTTCACATGGGACATTTCTTGAATCATGAAATCCATATGGAAATGTTTTTATTTCATAGTTTAACTGGATTAAATTTATGATCTTATTTTCAATCAGTTTTTGGATTGTCAATTTCAGAAGTAGCTGAACTATCCCCTCTAGAATGTCATAATGTAAGTCTGGTGGAAAGGATTCAATAACATTAAAGTAAGGCAATCTGTCTAAAATGCATGATTTATTTATTCCAAATATTGCTTTATTTGCAGAATAACTTTTAACTGCTTGCAGATGAGTGTTATAATTAGAAATTGTTCTTAACGAACAAGAATCTTCTGTGTATCTCAAAGATATAGTTTTATGATCAACTAAACAAAATCAACAAATTCTACCAGAACTGAAACAGCATCTAAAACCAGCAAGCGAATGGGCCCCTAAATTGTCTGCAGATACTGAGGCAATACAAACATGAAGACTGTGTTTAGTTTCTCCCTGAATAACAGTCACATAAGAACTCATTAAAGATATAAGTTCATCAACATGTTATAATACATCATCATAAGATGAAAACTGCAGTATTTTAGACCTAAACAGGATGGCAAGGTGTATTTGAGATGTTATTGAGCGATAACGAGGATGTAAATTTCCAATAGTGTAATATACACCACAAAGTTTTTGTTTGCCTTTTTTAGAACCTAAAGGGTTAACAGTTTCAAATTCATCAATAAACAAATGAATACAAATAGTAGTAGGATGTTTTGTAAAAAAAGAATGTCTTTTGTAAATTTCTCCATCACAATAGTCATACATAATACCAGTAGGATTTTCAGTTACGTGACAAAATTTATTTATAAGTAATTCCGTCTGAACCTGTAACTTTTTTTTCTTGTGGCTCCACCATTTTTAAATCAGTCTTACAAAAATTAATCAATTGATACTCATGAATAAAAGAATAAAATACATTATAGAGATAGTCATTGTCTAATATATGGACTAAATTGACAGTATCATTTTGTTGAATAAACTGCTTTATCAAACTATTATACGACAAAAAGAAAACAGTAAACACTTTCCTTATATCACTTGCTAAGTCAACATAATTTTAGAAACATATGACCTAAAGACTTTTTCAATTGAGACATTATCTGTAAAAAAAGACCTGGAAAATCGGTGTCCTGGATTAAATTTTCTGATAACGGAGCTGATAAATCATCAATTATAACTGATGTGCTAAGTGTTGGTTTTGGGTCATTATCAGTTCTACGCGTTCTCCTCACATGCTGTTGAAAACTGTGAAGCTTTTTAAAACTTTTATTACAAGTTGAATAACAGCAGTTTATCTTTAAATTAAAATCATGTAAATGGTAATTACTGTAATTCCTTGTATAGCTTTAAAATATTTAGTACTGGTGTTGAACACATTGAACAGTAGAAAAAAGTTGTCATTTTAGTTAAATTTCAAATGTTTCTAAAAACTACCTTTGAATTTGTCAACACATGATTCTAAGTTACAATTTATTAACCATTGAGTAACATCCAAAGATGACCAAGTTTCAGGTTGTTCCTAAAAAACATTTTTTTTTTAAATTTCAAAGTGTTATATAATAATTATAATAATTATTGTAGTGTTTTTTCAGTAAGTATTTTTCTTTTTTTATACAAAATTTACAGTTAAAAAATATAGGTTATGGCATAAATTTTTTATCCAAACTTACTGGCAAAATGTTAACAGCGATTCCAGACATTTTCGTAAAATTTTCAAAACTCATATAGTTTGGTATGCGTTTGGTTTTTTGAAAAACCGTAATACTTTGAGCGTTAAGTATAAATCCAATTGGATTTTTAAAAAACCGAAAACTGCCTTATCGTTTTTTGAAAAACCAACGGGTTTTTCAAAAAACCACTATAAAACCGATTCATTTTACAGTGTACAAAAAAAAATAACAAAACTATAAAGAAACAAACAGGTATTTTATATTACTATACTTAAAATATCAGTTTTTGAACCCGGTCAAAATACTGCAAAACAAAATAAAATATTGGAAGGATTTAATAATTTCTTTGCCAAAAAAAACGTTCTTACGAGTTCCTACGTACCAAACCTGTAAATAAACGCTGGAAGCAAAAGATAATTTTTAAACAGGTAGTAGTAATTGTTTAAAACATTGATATTTATGTAATATAATTTCAACACACAAATTTCTTTACGATTAGAAGCTCCAATAGTAAAGAACTCAGGTAAAAAATTACCATACATATATCACTTAATTAAATCTCCCCTAAAGAGTTTAGATTTATTCCCAAAAACTTTCCAAAACCGGAATTAAGATGCTTTATGCAGATGATATTGAATCTCAGATCATTTGTTAATTAGTCAACACTCTAAATGTTTAATTTCAAGTGACATTTATTTTATAGTTGTAAATAAGCAATCTCTATGTAGATTAGAGTAATAAAAAAAATTCTCAAACCCTGAAAGAACGAAAAGTAAAAGAAAAGCATATTCAACTCTTAAAAATGTATTAAAAATATTTTGAATTATTTTTCAACTATTGAGTCAACTAAATACATATATATGATCAATTGCATACAAATGCATAAAACTAATCAATTTAATACATTTATAGTATGTTTGTCTGTATAATATTTTTATTTATTCAATCATTATTTTTTTATTGTTGTTAAACCAACGTATACAATGTCTTTAATTGCACATTCATCTCCCTGTCTCAGGAGAAAAGTTTCTTGTTGATTTTATTATATTATATACACGTTTGAAAAAAATAATTTCAACACAAACATGAATAAAGATAAATTAAAAGGTATGTAAGCTGTTTTTGAGCTACTATTTAATTTGAAAGGTTTTTTATGCTATCTTATGAAATAGAAATGTCGAAAAAACAAAAACTGTAAATGTAGCTATAATATAAACGCATACAACACAAATTAATGTGTCCAATTTTTAAAAAGATATTTTTAAAGCAAAATAAATACTATATGTATATAATATTTATAAAGGTGGTTTTTTCGAATTATGAAGGAGTTCGTAACACAGGGTTGGCAAAAAAACCAAAAAAAACCCAATTAAAATATCCTATATTACAACTGATAAATCTGATTATAAATCTATTCTATTATAAATATATTCTATTCGATTATAAATATACTCTTATAAATGCATTATTATCAGCAAATCGCAAATTTTATACAGTAATTACTCTTGTAAACACTTTATATACAAAATGGTATTATAGCAAGTTAAATAATTAAAAACAATATAGCAAGTTAAATAATTAAAAACATTAAAACATGCATTAAAATATTAAGGTTTAAATTATTAAAAAAATTATTTAAACATTTGTAAAGGAAATAAAAATCATTCAATTAACTAAATTTCAAGTAGTAGAAATATAAAAGTACAAGAAAGTTATTTAATATTTTTCCTCTCCTATCAAATGTCTATATTTCCAAACCAGCGTTTTATAACTGCCATTTTATATTTTGTATTTGATCTTAATTTTGTAAAGTTTATGTTATAAACTACAAAATTCAGTACAAAGCCGCAAGAAGAACACTATATATAAAAATTGTTAAGCTTTATTTACAGTCTGGAAGTGAAATATTGTCAGGCAAAAAAAATTATGCAATAGTTTACTAGACAAAATTTTGTTAGTGAAAATGATACTTATGCTCGTCTATTCTACAGGTTTTAAAAATTTCATTTCAGCTACAAGTTTAAAACATATACCGTCAACAATGAACAGCGTGTACCAAGATTACTAAAAGATTAGGAAACACGTACAATAGAGTTATTTGATATGTTACTTTGATTCAGTTGCAAAACTGAGGTGATAAAACGTCTTCATAGAAAAAAATAAAGAACTTGGTGGTGAATCCACCATAGCGGCTCCTAACGAATTCATTTTTCGAATACTTGGTAATTCGAATTCTTAACATTTGCAAAACAAATTTATAATCTGAAAAATAGAAACATTATGAAGTGTTCAATGTCACCCCAAATTGACTAATCATTATTCTCACCCATTTTAAAAAACACGATTATGATCATATAAAATAAGAAAATTAATCAAAAATTTTCTGAATCAGTCAAAAATTTCCGGAATATGTTTTTATTTTATTGCAATTAGTTAAAATCGTTTAGAGTTGAAGGAGTCTGGTGCGCTATTTAATGTGGTAGTCGACTAGTAGTTAAGCAATTGGCTCGCAATCAAAAGGTTTAGGTTCATCCGTTAGCCCCAAGAAGTCTTTTTGTCACAGAGCACCGCGGATGAGCATTTTGTCACAGAGCACCGCGGATGAGCATTTTGTCACAGAGCACCGCGGATGAGCATTTTATGGGAAGTTCACGCCTCCTTCCTAATCGATCTCGCTTAACTTGCCCATAGATAGAGTTTGAACCATAGATCCTTTTTTTCCGAGGTAAGTGCGCTACAATTGCGCCACTGCTGCTCTTTAACATAAAATGAAAATGTATGGAGCAAATAAACTCAGACCTAAGAATCTTTTTTTTTTTTTTTAATTTTCTTAAAATCACGATTGCTTATCCAAATTTGAATAAGGTTTTAAGTAAATACGTTGTTTAGGTGAAATGAACATCATAGTTTAATAATATGATCTTTTCTAATTGTTAATCTTTCTTAATTATAAGCTCTTTCTTGGTCAAAATTCTAATATTTTTTGTGAAAATTGATAGAAATTTTGTGTTTTGATAAATATATTCAATTAATATGTACTAGAACAGATTAGAGCTAGAATCTAAAGTAGATTAAAGCATTTTTAAAAAATTTTAACTAAAATGAAGTTAACGCTGAATTGATCTAAATTAAAAATTGATCAATAATGGTGTTTTTTAAAAAACCATTTTTACTAATTCCGTGCTAATTCCAAATAATAGAACTCGAATAATTTATAAATCGCCTTAATAATTTATAAACTGCACCGAGTATTAAAAATTTTGTTAAGTTTTGCGGGTTTAATGTTGCGGGTTTAATGTTGTAATTATTTTTTTATCTTTTTATTTTATGTATATTCTTATATCGAGTTTCAATTCAGTCAGTTGATCTAAACGGATAGAAGTTGTTGAAATTGAATAGAAAGTGTTGAAGAAAAAAATTCTATAAATAACATGATAAATCTATAATCTATAAACAAAATTTAATGCTATTTATTAGTAGTCTATAAATGATGCTAGCCTATAATATAAAAAATCAATATTTAAAAAATAAAAACTTGTTTGCACAAATTTTGCTGCAAACGTTAGCATAAAAATATTAATTTATCATTTTGAATTTCAAATTTGAATTAGCTTACTTAGCAAATATTTATGTAGTGGATTTGGATTGGACCTACATAGGAATTTTATGGAGTTTTGCTAATCAGTTACTTATTAGAACATTAGTGGCATCCGTTGCCAGCCTATTACTTTTCATATGTGATATATTGGCTAGTCATCGGCTAGCCACTTTTATAGTCTGCCACTAAAAATCCACTGGGTAACCGATGAGTCAAATTACAGCACTTCTTCCCCTCGAATTCTCACCACCTGTTTTTCAATTGTTCTAAAATTATGCTACTGGTTTTTCACTTCCTTTTAGGCTAGTTAGAGCTCTGAAACTTTTAACTTTGTGTAATCAATTTAATTGTCACATTATTTATCACATAGTGTTAATATTATCGTAAGAATAACCTCTACAATTTAATAATCTGTTTTTAAAATTTGAAGGAGCATCTCTTAAAGCTTTTCTTAGTTCTTCCGATTTATGTCCAGTATTTAGTATAAATAATAAAATTTGTTTCACTGGGATACCATTTTCCTGAACATATCTTATCACAAAAGATTATTGATCAAGATAAGATAAATCTGGTAAAGACAATTATTGAATAGCATTTAGCATGTTTAATTTCACAAGAAAAAATTGCGTTTTCTCAATCAATATAGAAATAAACTTTTTATATACTGTTAAACCACAACTATTTGTATGTCCAGAACCAAGGATCAAATTTAGCAATTACTTCTACAAAAAGTAAGAAATTTCGTTTACTAAAAGAATCAATAATTTTATCATGGCCTCACAAAAGTCATCGGCCATTTATTTTTACTACTGCAACAATTCTTTGTAAAACTTCACTCCAATAACTAGTTTATTCATTATTTTGAGAGTATGATATATGATTATTTTAGATTCTGTAACTTTTAACTTTTTTAAACTTTAATTTAATTTACTTTTTAATAATTTTTTAAAACTTTAGTTTAAGGTTTTTGAAACGTTGAACATTGGTGTTCTTCAACACGTTTCTTTAAATTCTTACAGCCCTCAAATGCTCTTGTTCCATAAAAATGTAAAAGTGAAATACAACTACAAATTATTTGCAAATATGAATCAAAAAGTAGCTTGTTAAACTCTTCGCAAATGTTAACTGATAGGTAGAAAGTGCTACTTTTACCTTTTAGCCTAGTTAACATAAATGTTTAGCTCGAAACGGGTCGTATTCATCTAGTAACTTTAAAAAGCAAAAGAAATTTATTTTACTACTTTATGACATGATTCGATATTCTGGTCTGATCCACAAAATGGTTCTGATGAGAATATATATGAAATATATTCTGATGAGAACATCTTGACATTCTCAAGAGTAATTGGATAACAAAACTATTTTTTAATCATTTATTACTCAATGCACTCATGCTTATTAATTTAGGATTTATACTCTTGGTTCTAGAGTTTATTTTTGTTGATTTCAAAATGTTGATTAGCAACTAGTTGCTAGAGCATAAATCAACATGAGTGCTTATTTACAAATTACCTTTTATACATTAATATATTTGAATGTGTGTGTGGATATGTATATGCATATATATATTCATGTATGTATATATGTGTGTGTGTGTGTGTATGTTGTATATATAAATATTTAGGCAAACCTGGCTGGCCTCTCCAAGCGCCTTGGCCTCGCGGCGACAAATTATGCTGGACATGTGTAGAGTGGGGTAATATGGATATATTCAATTAGTATGCATGGAATAAGTTATCAAAATATATTGCTAAAACCTTGAACTTACCAACAGTTTAAATACATAATTAGCTTTTCTTGAATAAACAACATTTAATTTTCATTTTAGACTTTTTAAAAGACATGTTTTAGATGTCTTAAAAATATCTTTGTGTTTATTGGGAATTAATATGGGAAAAAAAAGCTTGCATAGCATCTGTTTCCTTACGCTGATATTACTAAGGTTAACTGTTAAATATACTTTTTGTAACATGTTATCATCAAGATGTAACCTTGAATATAGATAACGTCATCAGTAATAAACTAAAAGATTTTCCACGGCAACTTTATTCAAAACCTTTTTCCACTTTTTATGTTTTATAAATTGTGCCACTTTTTTTCACTCTTTATATTATTTTTGTATGTCATGAAATTTTTTACTGGTATTTATTTAGGTTCTACAGATGTATTTATTTAGGTTCTACAGATGTATTTATTTAGGTTATAGGTGTATTTATTTAGGTTACAGGTGTATTACAAGTGTATTTATTTAGGTATTTGTCTCATTGATTACACAATCACTTTTTGGGTCAAATAATTGCACTCGTTTTGAGGAGTTAATTTTTTTTCTAGATTTCGAAATAGTTTTATTTAGATGACATAATACTTTTTTAATATTGTTACGTGCATTTATTACCGTGAAAGTAGTAATGGATCATAAACCCAATAGTTTCACTATTTTATTTTAATTATTATTGTTTTTTTTGTTGTTTTTTTTGTATTATTTTTATGTGGGGATATTAATTTTCGATAATAATGAATCAACAAATGACGCGTCTTATAAAAGTTAAAGTTGAAAATAAATAAGAAGGGATCGTATTCTTATTATTGATATGGCTCCCCATTAATTTTTGTGTCGATAAGATTATTAAAAAATTTATTTAGTATTTAAAAATGATACTTTTTAAGGAAAATCTGCAGTTGTATCTACCCACACATCAACTTCACAACGTAGTCGCTCACAGTTAGCCGGACTTCAGTTTCCAGTTGGGCGAATACATCGCTATTTAAAAAAAGGTATAAATAATAATAGAATTAATGAATACAAAAAAAATATATATATAAAAAACAATTTTTTCTTAATATAAAATAAAGGGTATCTCCATTTTCTAGTATTTATTATTTTGTAGAAGGGGGTAAAAAATGGTCCCTGAATAAATTTTTTAAACAAAAGTTTTAAGAGTAAAAAAACAAGTCGTATCTTTAACAGATGTTTAATATTTAAAAAGTTGAAATATTTAAAATAAAATAAAATCTTCCATAAATATTTTCTTAGCAGAACGTTTCTGCAATTAATGTTTTTACAAAAATAGTTGCATACTTGAACAGAAGTTAAAGTTGTAGTTGATTTCTGTCAAACTCGTCTACCACTTTTCCTAGCGGATTTTGTACCATTTTATCTCTCAACAGTACAGGTTGTTGTGGGTATTGTTAAGAGGATGACAGTTGCTAAGTGATTTTTTTTAATTGAGCATACTCCGCTCTTTACTATATATATACAATTAGTATATATTATTACTATTTAAATAACAAAACTTTGTTTTATTTTTTATTTTTTTCTTGGTTTGTTATTTAAGCATAATTTTATTTAAAAGTATAATTCATAAGTAAGAAGAACTTTTTAGATTTGCTTATAAATTTTTCTTGAATGGTTTGCTTTTTATTAAAATATAAAAAATATTTATAAAATATAAAAATATTTTCCGTAAATAAGGCCCACGATATTTATTTGAGTACGAACTTAACTTCAAATTATAGTTTTGAACAATAAGGTTGTTCTCTGAAAATATTTTGAAGTATTTATAGCAGATTTTATTAAGATATTTTTTATATAAATTCTGTTTCTATCTACTGTTATGTATAAAATATTTTTTACAGGTATACAATTAAGTTGTGGAAAGAAATTTTACATATTATTAGATATTTTTATCAATATTTTTAAAATATATATAATATTTATAACATTTTATCAATGGTTTTAAAACTTCTAAAATATATTATTATTCATATTCTAATGAACTTTTAAACATATTTTTTAAATATTTTTAAAAAAATTTTTAAGGTCGATACGCTGAACGTGTCGGAAGCGCTGCACCAGTTTACATGGCTGCCGTACTTGAATATCTAACGGCTGAAATATTAGAGTTAGCTGGAAACGCTGCTCGTGATAACAAAAGATCAAGAATAAAGCCGCGTCACATATTGCTTGCAGTTCGAAATGACGACGAGATAAATACCCTGTTAAAAAATGTCATAATTGCAGAAGGTGGAGTCCTACCAAACATTCAATCAGCTCTTTTGCCTCCTCGAAAAGAACATTCTTATACAAGTACAGTAAATGAAGGTAGTCAAAGCCAAACTTACTAAAAATCATCTGTAAATGATTTTTAGTAAGTTTGGCTTTGACTTTTTTTATAGTGTATTAACGTACTGAAAATTATTTGACAAAATGATTTTTAGTACTTTAATACACTATAAAAAAGCTAGAAATTTCTACCTTAGGCTAGAAATTGTGATATACTCTTAGTAAGAAATAATTTTCTACCTTTGGTAGAAAACAATATCTTTAGAGTAGAAAATTGAATGATAAATCATTATTTTTAATACAATTTTCTACCTTAGAAAGTAGAAAATTATACCTTAATAAGGGTGTATCACATATTCTACCTCAAGGTAGAAATTTCTACCTTTTCTTTAGAGAGTAGTAATATTCTCCTGTTAATTTATTTCTAGATGTATTTTTATTTATTGGTTCTACACAAAAAAGATCGTTTAAAAGGGAAAAAGATATTATCCCAGATATATACATGTTTTCCAGATATATAGATTTTTCCATATTTGTATGTATATATAGATATATAGATGTAGAAGGCATAAAGCATTAAAAATGTTAAGGTCATATGAATCGCTAACTTGAAAAAGGGGACATGTCCTGCAAAAATCATATAACATGTCCCCTTTTTTAAGTTAGCGATTCATATTAATCGAAAATTTAAACAAAAAAATAGTCTGAAATGAAATTAATATAATAAAAAAATTATCTATGATATTTCAGTATGTAATTAATTTGATGATATTTCTGATTAAAGTTTATAAAAATATTTGTTTATTAAAAACATGAAAAAAGTTGTAAATAGTATAATAATTGGTTATAAATTTAACCCTTGTATTTAAATAAAAATAAAATATTCAAATCTAATGAAATTCATAATTTATATAACATATATATATTTTTTTATAAGTTTATAGCAGCCGTGGCGTTGTGGTTAGAAAACCAAGAGGTCCTAGGTTCGATGCTGGGTCTGATCAAGTACGTTACATTGGTAAGAAAGGAAGCATGAACTTCCTAGCTAAAAACTTTTCCACGTTGCTCTGTGACCGCAACGACTTCATGGGGCACCTTAAATACCACCAAAAAATTGGTTATAATACAAGGTACGTTACAATTGGAAGTGAGTAGAAATATAATAGTATGGGCTTTTGTTAAAAATAACAATTTTGTACAATATATTAACTATTTTAAAATCACATCAGCAAATTCCTTTTAATGCAACATAGTACTTCGCACTTAAGTACAATTGAGTAGTTTATGTAAAAATCATAACGATATTGTTTTCTCCAAAGCAACGCATTAGTTATGTAAAATATAATGGTTATATAGTTATGTAAAATATAATGGTATGCAATTAAAATTTCAGTTGTTCTCAAGATTTACAAGTTCTACATGTTTCTCCGGGCATTGTTACAGATTGCCTGGGGTCTACTCACAACAGGCTTTTCCGCCATTTTACCGGTGCTCAAGTTGTTTACCTATAAATGCTGATTTTGATTCTTCTAATGAAACATCTCCCAGGAAAGTACCTAATAGAATTTTTCTATCAAAATAATTAAATTTGAAATACCATGATACATCTTTAAAAAAAGTTTTATTATGATCTATTTTTTACAAATTTTTTAATGTTAATGTAATAATTATCAATAAATTAGAAGTCTTAGAAGTCAAATTAACTGCGGCTGATTTAAAATTGACTCACAAATTAAAATTTTTAGACGATATTAACTTTAACGTTATACGAAAATTAAATCACCAAAATATATAACCATTAATGATTTCGTCAAAAACAATGTGCTACTAAAATAATTGATGCTAAAATTACAGTGTATAAAAATTGTTAAAGTAACGAGTTAACAGATGTCCCCCCCCCCCACCTTATTATTTATATATTTGATATCATATTTTCAGGCAAATATTATTATATACCAATATATATTAGAACATATTAAACCTTTATATATTAGAACATAACTAAGTTGTAATTTTAGTTATAAAATATATTATTCCTCAATAATATTTTATTATCACTTTTAAAATTAAATTAATAATGCAAAAAAAGTACTTAATAACCCTCTTTTCAGAATTGAACTATTTCTTCAATCACTTTTAAGAAGTCCTTGACTTTTGTTTGCAATGATTACTAGATCATATTCTTATCCGAAATTTTGATATGCAATCTTCTGATAAAAAAATGAAGGAATTTGTTCAACTTTATCAATGTGTTAATTTAATTAAACAACCAACCTTTAAACCAGTCAATAAACTTTTTTGTATTAATATTATTCTTACTAACAGGAATCTGTGCTTCCTACATTCAAATATATTTTTTACGGGCATAAGTGATTATCACCAATTAATCATCATACTTGGATCTACTTTTTCTAAGTTATCACCTAAGAAACTTAATGTTTCTAAGGTGATAACTTACAAAAATCCTGAGAGGTAATAGTAAACCTTTTATGAGTAAAGACCTACAAATTATACTCCGCTCTTCGTTATATAAAAAAATTCAGTTTATTCAGCGCAAATTCAGCGCAATTCAGTACAAAAATCAAAGAAGCTGGTTAGTTAGCTGCCTTTTAGTTAGAGGCTGGATGGCTCAGTTGAATAGAGTGTCAAACAAAAAGTTAAAACCCGGACTATTGAACGATACGAGTTAAAAATCCTGCCACCGCCAATTCAGTGCTTGAGTAGTACTTCGGTACGCAAAAATGTTGGTCAATAACGGACGCTACTTTGGTCTTAATGTTTAGTCTTAATGACTATTTGTGACTGTTCCTACGCTAAGTCAACAATATCTTCGGATATAAGAACATTGTATAGAAAAATATAGCATGAAAATTCAAATAAAAAAATTAAAAAAAGTTTAGTTAAATCGTCAACTTAATAAAATATATTTTGAGCAATTTAATACACTCTCGACTTTAAATACACCTCTTGGAAGATATCTAAGAAGATATCTAAGAAATTTCATTCAAAAAAAGAATAGAAAATTCTAACGAACGTATCACTGTGGTTGACAATAGCAACATTATCTCTAACAGTTCTTTGTTTGCTGATATTTTTAATGACTAACTTTATTGAATGTTGCACTGTCTTCTTATTATTTTATTTATTATTATCATTAATATTATAATTATTTATTTACTTATTTCTATTAGTTATTTATCATTTTCTTATTTATAATATTAATAAAAAAGTTTGCACTTATGAAAAAAGAAAAAGTTATTTAAAGTTGCTACCAGCATGCTCAAATTATAGCTAAGATTTCTTATAAACAGACATCAAAACAGCAAAAAATTTATAAAAAAGAAGAAAGTTAGAGAAAAAGCTGTTTATAAACAACTTTTTCCCTAATTTTCTTTCTTCTTTTTTTTTAAATATTTCAATATACCCGTTGAGTACCAAATCATATTTTTAAAGACTAGTCTAAATTGATTTGTCTGCTAACTCTAACCTCTCAGTTGTATTAATGTCTGGTTTTTCAGCTCTTAATTAAGATTTTGTTTGTCACATTTTTTCGCCATGATTTCATTATTTTTTGTTAATTTGTGATTTAAGTACTCCATTAATTTAATTGATTTGTGATTTGATTGTATTTTTACTGTTTTTTTTTTTTTTTTTTGATTAAATTTATTTTGATTTCGCAGGTTAATGGCAAATAAATAGTTAAAAGCAAAAGAGAATGGATTTTAAATATTTACAAGGTGTTATTAGTATGTATATTACATTTCTTTGCACTGTGCCCACCGATATATGTGTATATATATATATATATATATATATAATATATATATATATATATATATATATATATATATATATATATATATATATATATATATATATATATATATATATAATATATATATATATATATATATATATAGTAAAAAATAAACCATTCCGCAACTTTTTTGTAAATCTCTATATATAACAATGATTAGATGGGATGGTATTTTTAATTTACCGAATACCATCCCGTTACTTTTTTTTCTCCATTTCGAGCACTGTATGTATCTATATATATATACATATATGTACATAATTATATTAATATATGTGTTGATGTATGATGTTGATGTATAATGTATCTTTATCCAAATAGTTTGATATCTTGGTCAATAATGAAGTAAATTAAGTACGGATCAATAATGGGTTGTTGTTTTTTTCCTACTATTGATCACTTAATGTTCACATTCGCTTGTGAAAAATGTAAAGTATAATAATACTTGTAAAATGTAACTGCAGGTAACTGCATTTATTTAAATGCAGTTACCTGATGTTCTTAAATAAAAAGACGCAATGCACAAAGGTAGAATTTAGACTGTTTGAAGGTTGTACCATATTGATTAAATCCTGGCAAAATATGCATCAAATCAAAATGAGTCTGATAATAGAAGGCGATAAAAATACATATGAATTTAATATTGGTGATGAAGATAACGATATCGTATTTTTATCAATTTCGTTTTGAAAATAACTTTACTTTTGTAAAAGTTTTTGTTCTAAAAATATATAAATTATTTTTTTGGTTTTATTTGCTTTCAATAATTGCTTTTCAATTTCTATAAATTAGTTACTTGTGTTAAAAAAATGGTACAGATTAATAAAATTACAGAAATGGTACAGATTAGGGCAGATTATTTGTAATACTATTACAACAACTAGTGTTATAATATAAAATAAACTAATAATACTAATAATAATAATAATAATAAGTGAAAGTTGTGAAAATTGAGAACAAGATGTGCAGTGCAATAGCATATTGTACTATGACAGCTGTTATAAGTTTATGAAGAGTTACTGTTTCTTTTCTTACTCATAACAACATAATATTGTACAAAAAATAAATGTTTTTTCGAATTAAAAGAGTCACGGCGCAAAAATCTGTATTTTTGTGTTTATAAACTCGAATATAAGTTGATTTTTGATGAGTTGATTTTTAGTTTATTTTCAACGTTGATCTAACGTTTTTTTGTCAACGTTGATTTGCGTTTCCATTTCAACCAAAAATCAACCATTTTTCAACCATAAATATCAACGGTTTTTCAACGTTGATTTTGCTTGCTGGGTAGATTCCAGGTTCCACAATCTTTTGTGTGGTTTTTGTAGAGTTGTAGTACACAGAATTTACTTTTTGTTTTACGCAATGAAT